AAAAAAAAAATCCACACATAACTTTTGATCCTCTCAAAACATAGTTGTCTCTCGGTATCTGGAGGGGTGGGTGGGGGGCAGGATTGGTTCCAAGACTACTTGCCTCTAGTGCCATGACCCTGAAGACACTGTAGTCAGCTCTCCATATCTGCGGATTCCCAATTGAGGATTGAAAACACTGTCTTCAGTCCACGGTTGGTTGAATCCACTGATTCACAACCTGTAAATACAGAGGGATGACTGTATATTTATTGAAAAAAATACCTTATAAGTAGACCCACACAGTTCAGACCTGTGTTGTTGTTCAAGGGTCAACTGTATTTCTTAACCTTCCCCTTGTATATAATGTGTCTTTCCCCCCAAGTCTACTTTAAAATTTATCTTAATTGTTGTCTTAGCAAATTTGATTATGATGTGTCTTGGTTGGTTTTCTTGTTTATCCTGCATGGGGCTTGTTTAGCTTCTTGAATATGAGGTTGATATTTTTCATTAAATATAGAAATAAATTTGTTTAATCTTTCCTCATCTGGGATTGCAATTACATATATGTTAGATTGGTTGATATCTCAGAGATTGCTGAGGCTCTGTTTATTTTATTTTTCTTTCTGTATTTCAGTTTTTACAGTTTCTATTGATAAATCTTAAAATTTACTGATCTTTTCTTCTGCAGTGTTTAAACTGTTCTTATGCTTGTTCAGTGAAAATTTTATTTTAGATAATGCATTGTCAACAAAAGAAATTCCATTTAGTTCTCTTTGATAGTTTTCATTTGTTTCCTTAGTGTCTTCATATTTTTCTTTAAAACATTTGATATATTTATAATAGCTACTTTAAAATCCTTATCTGCTAATTTCTTCATCTCTGTCATTTCTGCCTGTTTCTATTAACAGATTCTTTCCCCCTCCTGTATATGAGTCGTGCTTTCCTGCTCCTTATCCGATATGCTTTGATTGGATGCTGGATGTTGTAAATGTGACATTCTTGCATGTGGTAGGCAGAATAGCTCTCTAAAGATGTTCACACCCTTATCCCTGCATCCCGTGAATATGCACATAACATGACAAAAGAGACTTTGCAGATATAATTAAAAGTATGGATTTTGCGATAGGGAGATTATCCTAGATTGTTGGGGTGAGTCCAGTCTAATTACATGAACCTTTAAATGCAAAGAAATTTCTCCAACTAAAGTCAGAGGGATGCAGCAGGAGGGGAAGTCAAGGTGATTGGAAGCATGTGAGGGACTTGAGCCGCCATTGCTCTAGGAGCAAAGATAGACCCCAACTGACAGCCAGCAAGGAAATGGGAACTTCAGTCCTTAAACTTCAGGGAACTAAATTCAGTCAACAAACCAAATGGGTTTGGAAGTTCATTCCGATATCCTGTCAACACCTTGACTTCAGCCTTGTGAGATTCTAAATAGAGGATTCAACTGAATCATGCTGTGCCTGGACTTCTGATCCAGAGGTTATAAATGAGTATTTTTTTAAGCCATTAAATTTATGTTAATTTGTTATGGCAGCATTATAAAACTAATTCATTGAAAGCCTGGATATTTAAAGAATCTTGGGCTTTATTTTGGGAGGCTGTTGTTACTCTAGTAGCTGATAAACTTGATCCTTTTGAGGCTCATTCTTAAACTTTGTTTGTGAGGTTCAAGACTGACCTTAAGGAGTCTCTTGTCCCCTCCTTAAGAAGTAGCTTAGGCTTTTTATTGTATATCACAGGTCTTTCATGAAGTTTCTATATTCTAGTTGGTTAAAACTCAAATGACTCCCTGTGAATTCCAGCAGTTGTTCAGATTGTAGTTCACCAGTAATTTTTTCCCACTGGTAGTTAATTTGTGCCTAGCCTCTTGGGCATCACCCTACACATGCACAGCTAAGCAATCAGGGGAAGACTTAAAGAGTATTTAGAAATTCTTTCTATGTAGTTCTTCCTATCTAGCATGCCTTATTGCAAATGCTAGACATCTCATGCTCCCCAAACTCAATCTTTGTCTTCTCAGCCCAGCTTTGCATGGATCTCCCTGTGTGGACCAGGTCTGAAAAGTACCTCCAGGCATAAAACCAGGGCAATTGTAGGACTCACCTCATTTGTTTCCTTTCTAATTGGGATCATATTTTTGCTTTGCCTGTGTTCCAGTGTCTAAAAATAGATATTTCATATATTTTGCCCAGTTTTCTAACTTTTAGCATATTCTAGTACATCCTGGTTAGAAATCTCTTCTTATTTTGTCAGTGGATCCTTTGTTCACCAAGTAAGAGCTTCTTTACAGAGATGTCTTTGCTTCCAATCTAGTTTTTTCAGTCCATCCTTCAAAGTCCATTCTGAAATAAACATAGATGAAATCCCCTTCTCAAAAACTTGTCACGGCTTCTTGCCTTTCTCATAACAGTAATACATAAATCTATTTACATCTAGACCATTACAATGGGCTTTCCAGGTTATGCTCTCATTTGATAAAGCCTAACTGTTTAATTGGATAGTCAAGGATTTTATGTTTAACTGCAATCCTTTCTGATCTAGTAATTAAGCGAAATGCAAAAATGTGTTATAAACTGTAAGGTGGTATACAGAGATTCCTTAATTTGCCATATAATTGGTTCTTGACCTAAAGCAGACATTACCTTGATTTGAGGCTTAAATCAGCTAAGAATCCTTTCAGATGCAAGTAACAGAAAGCCTGATTAACAGAGTCTGAACCAAGTAAGGATTTATTTGTTTCCCTGGAGAAGATCAGAGGCGCCAACTGCTTGCAGTGGCTCACTGGCTCATTGTTGTCAAGACTCTGGCTTTCCTCTCAAGAGTGCAGAATGGCTGCCCTACAGTTGGGCAACATACTTCCTTTCAGGCAAGAACACAGAGATGGGAGCGGTAGGGAGGAGTGGGAGCGGACGCTGCCTCTTTCGTTTTTGCGAGGAAGGAAGAGCTTTCCTGAGAGACCACAGCAGATTTTC